ACTCACGGAGTTGCTGAGGCGTCGGGAGGTCGCGAGAACGCTGCTGCTGCTGCTGCTGCTGCTGGCGCTGACCACCCCCAGTGCTGCTCCGCTGCGAAGCGCCACTCCGACCACCTCCACCACCGCCACCGCCACCGCCACCCCCGCCTCCGCCTCCACCGCCGCCGCCTCCGCCACCTCCGCTCCCACCGCCACCGCCGCCGCCACCCCCGCCCCCACTGCCGCCACTAGCACCCCCACCCCCGCCACCACCTCCACCGCCACCCCCACTCCCTCCGCCGCCTCCACCGCCACCTCCACCGCCCCCGCTGGCCCCACCCGCTCCCTTTCCCCCCTTGCCCTTGCCAGAGCGGAGTCTCCCGCTAGGGGCAGACGCCGCACCGACCGACTCAAGACCAACGAGGTCGGCCGCAGCGGCAGAGGCGACAGAGGGCAGGAGAGGGGAAGGAGAACACCCCTCAAAGATGGGGGCGCGGGGGTCACCTCTAGAGGCTCCTACAGCGACTATGCTCTTCTCCGCCGCTAGGAGGGCCTTCTCGAGGCTGTCGACTGTGAGGGTGGTGGGAAAGACCGCGAGGAAGTGGTCCCGGACTACACGAAGGGAGTCAGGGAGGCGAGTGACTAAAAAGTAGAGAGTGATGTACATGGGGGGGGGGTTCTTGGCGCAGAAGTCAGCAGGAAGCGCAGCGCGGTAGCGAGTGTCACTAGTGCGGAGGTGCGTAATGAGGTCAGCGACAGTGGGAAAGGCGGCAAGGTCAGGGAAGAGGAAGGGGAGCATGAGGCGGCTCAGTGCAGCAGTGGCAGGGGAGGAGTAGCGCGCAACTACAGCGTCGTACAAGGTCTGGGCACTCTTGTACTGGCTAAAGTGCGCGCGCTCAGCGGTAGGCAGGTGGCGACGCACAGCAAGACGTGCAGCAGCATCGCGCGTGGCCCACTGTGAGCGAACAGTGGCGTCAGCATCAGCAGCACGGGCAGGGACGGCGCCAGAGGTGAGGTCAAAGAGAGAAAGACCGTCTGCCCTATCGCACTGTAAGAACAGCTGCAGGTCGTCGAGTGAGACCTCAAAGTCAATGGCACGACCCTCAGCGTCAAAAGCTAGGACACTAGGGGTAGCCATGACTGCAACCGGCGATCTCACCAGACAGGACGGGTCGGGGAGCACAGTAGCACAGCAAACACGGCTGCTCGGCCGGCCCAGCAGCAACAGCAGCACCTCGGCACCAGCGGCTCGGCTCCTCGGGCGGCTCGGGCGGCTCGGGCGGCTCTGGCGGCTCGGGCGGCTCGGGCGGCTCGGGCGCTCAGCGGCACATGCGACCCGGGCGGCTCTGCAGCTCGGGCGGCTCGGGCGGCTCGGCTCCTCAGCTGCGCAGGCGGCTTGGGTGACGCGGGTGGCACGGGCGGCTCGGGCGTCGTGACGGGCGGCTCACGGGCGGCTCGCGGGCGGCTCACGGGCGGCTGAAGGGCGGCTCACGGGCGGCTCACAGGCTGCTGTCGGGCGGCTCACGGGCGGCTCACGGGTGGCGCACGGGCGGCTCACGGGCGGCTCACGGGCGGCGCACGAGCGGTCACGGGCGGCTCACGGGCGGCTGAAGGCGGCTGACGGGCGGCGCACGGGCGGCTCACGGGCGGCTGAGAGCGGCGCACGGGCGGCTCACGGGCGGCTGAGGGCGGCGCACGGGCGGCTCACGGGCGGCTGAGGGCGACGCACGGGCGGCTCACGGGCGGCTCACGGGTGGGTCACGGGCGGTTCACGTGCGGCGCGTCGGGCGGCTGAGGGCGGCGCACGGGCGGCACGTGGACGGCCTTGGGCCTGGCGGGCAGCACGCGGGCGGCTAAGGGCGGCGCGCGGATGGCGCGCGGGCGGCCTGGGGCCTGGCGAGCGGCGCGCGGGCTGTGTAGGGCGGCGCGCGGGTTCTAGGGCGGCGCGCGGGCTGCGTAGGGCGGCGCGCGGGCTGCGTAGGGCGGCGCGCTGGCTCTAGGGCGGCGTGCGGGCTGCGAAGGGCGGCGCGCGGGCTGCTAAGGGCGGCGCGCGGGCTGCAAAGGGCGGCGCACGGGCGGCTAAGGGCCGGAACGGGCGGCGCGCGGGCGTGAAAGAGAGAGCCCGGAGCGCGCTCCGGGCAGAAAAAAAAAAAGTCGAAGTAGTGGTGGGCCCTAAGCACAGTTCTCACAGGGGAACCTGCTCGATACCATGAGAAGAATAGAACGAGAATGAAATGACTATGAATGAAGTGAGTACAAATAGGAAACCCTAATGGGATTGTACCCCCTAAGGGATACCCCACTATAGCCTATACAAATAAGTAAGCTATAATGTTCTGACAACGACCTAGCTAGCCATGTGCTCTAAGGGGTACATTCCCTTATTTAAATGCATCCCCAACCGTGCGGCGCGAACAGTTACGAAACTGTTCCCGCCGAAGCCATCCTGCCTGCAGCTGCCTGATGCTGTCTACTCCGACGGTTCAAATGCGTCCCAACTGTCTGACGCTTCGAGTCGTTTCCAACCGTCTGACGCTTCGCGTTCATTCGCGATACTGCGTGCTTCTCTTTGCTGCGGTGAGGAGTGCACAGTAATATTCAAGTATTACTATTCGTAACAATTACAACTACTAAACAAGCAACGAGGCCTAGGCATAATATAGCAAAGATAGCTAGGCCGAGGTCGCGGAGTCGCGCGAAGGCTGGGTGCAGGTTTGGGGTTGGGAAACCCGAAGGCGATGCGGGGGACGTTCGGAAGGCGAGGTCAACGGACCGAGCCTGAAGTTCGAAAGTTGGAATTGTACGTGTAGAGGCTTCCTCGGTAAGGAATTAGCAAAATTCCTTGCAAGTGGGCTAACTTAGGTAATTTACGTACCCGTTGGTTGGTGGCAGCAGGGACTGGTGGAGGGCGAATTGCTTTGACTGGGAATTCGAACAGGGAGGACCGCTGGGTCTCGATTGGTCAATCATGCTCCGTGGTTCAGGAGGACGACTCAGGATGATGCAGGTTTCAGGGGATTTGACAAACAGGCACTTGTGCATCGAGTAACCGCCACCGCTTGTATTGGTTGAACCATGCTTTTCTCCAGCTCCGGTGCTGTGCTGTTCATGTGGTGAGCAGCAGCAGAGAAGCACCATTGACCGCAAACCGTCCCCACACCACCTTCCTCCCCCACCCCATCCCGAGCTGAGGGGACGGCGCTTGCAGCAGCGGCTTGCGCACTCTGCTCTGTCCCATTCCGACTCACCAACTTCAGGTGGAGCCGTTTGAAAAGAAATTACCCCAGCGGAACCAGTCCACACGGAATCGGGTGGGATGCTAATGGTCATCCCCTCACTTCCACCCGCACCTGCTCGGGCTGTTTCCCCGACAAAGCGGCCGTGCGTTCAGCAAGTTCGTTGTTGGTACAGTATCGCGCGTGTGCGCACCTGGCAAATTTTTAAGCTGTGTGATGTGCGCCCCCTTAACACAAAAGCATGAGGACGTGGTACATATCGGGGCGATCTGAGGCCGATTGCCTCGATCTTGCAATCCACAATTTCCCAGAAGGTCGAAGGGGTACTTTTGGGCAATCGGGGGCAATCTATCGATCGCAATCAAGGTCGTAATCGATTGCGATCGATTGACTCGATCTGATGCAATCGATTGCATTCGACTGCGATCGATAGACTGGGTACGTTGGCGTTTGTGCGCGAGCTGTAACCAATGTCAGTGAATTTCGTGTCGTTTCGCCATTACAGAACATCACGCGACAGTCGAACTGGTAAAGGGGCTACCCTGTAAATGCGCGATGTAGACGGTCGCTTATTTTCGCCAACATTGAACATGTAGGGGTGTACTACCCACCTGGAAGGCGCTTTTGAGGCTCTAACCTGTTTCGTAGAAAAACATTCTTCAGATCGCGCGGCGCGGGAGGCAATCGATGATTGCGTCAGATTGGGGCAATCACACCCAATCTATTCCGATCTGATCCAATCGATCACCGATTGCGTGAGATTGGAGCGTTCTGAGCACGTCCTTATTAATGATATGTGTAAACCAGCACAACACTCCAGAATATTCTGACCTTCACTTTGGCCTCTCCATCACCACCAAATCAAATGTTTTCCTAAGTGTGTCGAGACTACAGCATGGGTATTCCCACCAGAGTTCACACATAAGTCTGAAACCAACTCCACGTCGTTTTCTACTTGAAACGGAAGGAACTGCACCAGTTGCCAACACAGACTTTTCTCACCGTTGGATCACAACCTTGGTGAGATAAATTAGCAGGAAGGATGGGCCGTTACGATATTCCATGTACTGTAACACTTTCATTCCACGCCAAACACTGGCTGGGACCGCAAAAGCACAGCAACGCTTACTGGTCGTTCCATTCTTTTTCGTCCTGACCGCTCTGCCAGCTCGAAACTGTCTCGTAGTTCGTCTTGCTTCGAACACATTCCACTGTAGCACGCACTGCTTCTTATCGGACAAATCTCCATTCCCCTTTCTTTTCACCTGCCCCTATGTTCCCTGCCTCACTCGCACGCACCGCCTACTTCCTCAACTCACTGAAGACACTCTTGCTCCCTCGCCTCACCCCTCACCCTCACCCCTCCATCTGCCCCAGATTCCTACCAGCCAGGAAAACCTTCGATTTTCCTTTCTCCCTTCCATACGTTTTTCCTTCCCCTTCTCTCACAGCTCTTCCTCACCTTCGCTGCTAGCAGCCCTACCGTGCCTACTTTGCTCCACTTCTGCATGTTTTGATTTCCTGATTGTGACTGCATCTCTCTAGCGATCACTGAATTGAAACTGAAAGCCGAAGCGTCTGTTCTTGTTGCACCAAAGAGCCGCAAGGGTACCCACATCTGCGTTCTACCTTTCTTCTCCAACCCACCCTGTTTCCATTACAACGTTTCTTCACTTTACCAGTTCTTCTATTTTTTACAACTACTTTCAGATAAGGGTTGTTTCACATACCGCGTTTCCGTAGCCCATCTCTCCTCCACCCCTGCGACGTGTAGTTAATCGCTTCATGGCGTCTCTAGTAGCCGTTCTGCAGGAGAGCCGGCCGCGGCGGTCCGCGCCATGGAAGGTGGAAGCGAATCCCATGCAAGGCATCTGGAGCAAGATGCGATCGAAGGTCCGTCTGCTAGCGAGCTAAGGTCCACCGGGAATGCTGAGACGCATCGAGTATGCCGAGCCTCGTCGGCCCTGCCCACCTCCCCCCTGCTCCCACTGCCTTTCTCCTCCGCTGCCCCTTCCCCTCACGTACTTCCCCTCCCTCTCCCTCTCCATCATCCCCATCACTCCTTCCCTCCCCCCTACGAGCCAGTCTCTCGCTTTCCCCTCCCTTACGCGCGCACGTGACCCGTCGTTGTACCGTCACCATTTTTTACCCGTCGTCGTCGTCGTCGTCGTCGCACTCTCACGACGGCGTCTACCTCGTTGCATCGCATCTCATCGCACCCTTCCTTCCGTTCCCGTGCCTCCCTTTTCTCTTCCCATCCTCCCCTCGCTACTCTCGACCGGGCATCATTCTCCCTGCTGCGCTCATCCCCCCTGCTCTTCCTCCCGGCCCCGCTGCTCTTCCTCCCGCCGCTCTTTCCTCTTGGCGTTTCTCCTGAATCGTTTCAGGCGGGAGCGTCGTGTTCCAACTGTGGCAGCTCTTCTTGCAGGTAAACCGTCACTTTAACCGTCACCGTCAATTGTTGTAACTGTTATCGCGTACCCGTTAAGTGACCCTAAATTGTTGCGTCGTCACACGCACCGTCTAAGTCAACAGTCGCCATCCCCGGCGTTTCTCGTGTCAGTTTCACTTGCGCGCGTCTGCGTTGCTCCTAGAAAAAAATTCCGCCTTTTTCCGCTTGTCACCGTCCCTGTCCTATCCCCTGTTCCCCCGAACGCATCCGCCCTTTCCGCGCAGCGTATCCGGCCCCGCGCTTCTCCCCGAGCTCGTCAGTCACTTCGGCCGCAACTACCTCTCTGCACTCGCTTCCGCCTCCGACTTCCACCTTGCGCTCAAGAAGTTCCCCGCTCGCCCCGCCGACCTCCCCGCCTCCGCGAGCTCCGCTCGCCAAGCCTGTTCCACCGCGGCTGGCGCCGCAACCGCCGCTCCGCCAAGCCAAGACGAGGTCGCGCGGCTCCTTGCGCAGGTGGCGGCGGGAAACGCGGACTCAGCGGCGGTGGTGATGCAGCTGAGCGCGCAAGGAGCGGCTGAAGCGGAGCTGCTTATATCGAACGGCGCCACGGCGTCTCTTACGCGTGCATTGGAAAGCGGAAGCAGTGGCGCTGCGAAGAGTAGGTTAACAGCACTGACGGTGGCAACGGCTCTTAATCTCTGCCTCCTCAGCGAACGCTCGGCGCCGCGCTTCAGCGAGGAGGGGCTGGTGATGCTGCTAGTTAATATTCTTCGACAAGTGGAGCCCTCCGCATCCACGTCCTTCCCGCTCCTTGCTGACGTGGCAGCGCTCCTCTACTGCTTGCTGCACAGCGAGGCGAGGGTACACGTGGCGGCAAGTGCGGGCACGGACGTGCTGCTGTGGCAGCTGCTGGTTGCTTCGTCCTCGTCAGCACCACCGTCGAACGAGGACGAACCGCCACGTGCCAGTGCGCGTGCGGCGGCGGCGCTTGCGCTGCTGCGCCTGTCGCAGGTGCCGGAAGTGGCGGCGCAACTGGTGGAGCGAAACGCTGTTGCCCAAATCTCCTCCATGCTGCTTGCCGGGCAGGCGAACGGGCAGGTCGAGCTTTCCGCACTGCTGGCGAGTTTGACCCGGTCAGAGGAGGGAGTAATGGCTTTTTGCACTGTAGATGATTCCAACGGCGCGCGCGCGCTGCTGCAGGTGCTACAGCCGGGGAAGGAGCAGGGGAAGTCGCTGACTCTGCAGCAACAGTTGGGCCTGGTGATTCTGAAGAACGTTCTTGCAGGAGGAAGCATGTTCGGACAGCATTTAGTGCAGGCGGGTGTACGCGAGGGAGTGGAGCAGCTATTGAAGGCGATGGGGGGAGACGTGAATGGGAAGAACAAGGGTGTTGACTTCACTGGGGGGCAGTGTCAAGCGGAACAACAAGTATTGAAGGTACAGTATGGCATTTTCTCTCTATCTCGCCCCCCTCCCCCACTTCCCCTCCTTCCCCACCCCACTCGAACGGTCCGTCGTATTAATATCACCAAGGTACACACAGGGTAAAGCAGCAAACCACACACAACAAAGCTACTGGTGCCATCTCCTATCCTAACACAACTACAGCCACCCCTCTCTCTCTCTCTCTCTCTCTCTCTCTCTCTCTCTCTCTCTCTCTCTCTCTCTCTCTCTCTCTCTCTCTCTCTGCCATTGCCACAATGTTCAATTTGCCCTACTCCCTTGCCAATAGCCCCATGTCTCGTGCTCCTGCTCGATTTTTTTGTGTGTAAATTTCATAACGTCATCGCCTCATCGCATTTCCCCTCTCCACCACCTCCCGTGTGCTGCGTTTAACCGTTCAGGTGCAGGAGCTGCTCTCTTCCTTGCGTAACTGCTCGTAAAGGGACTCCACTCGTGGCGGTACTGCTGCGCACGCCTTCACAGGTGCGTGCGAGGCGCGCCTAGTGTTTGTGCGTGACCTCAGAAGTCCTGGATACTACTGTTGTTTCGGTCATGAATATCAAGTACCTTGGATCTTCTTGTTGAAGCTTATTTTTTATGCATACCTGTACTATGGCATACCAGAATACTGGGTCCTCTATCGTGCTGCATTCATAAATGTTTTTTTCCTCTACCCACTCAAGTCTTCTTTCGTCTCCCGCTCATGAGCCTTTGGCACATTCCTTATGAAGCATCTATTTGTGCGTGTGCTCCTGTGTTTTCAGGCATGAGTGGTAATCCATCAAGAACAAGATCCATGTGCAGCAGCAGAAATCCGGGAAGCAATATTTCATATCGATTTGACAGCCCTCCCTGGTCTCTCTGCGCAGAGACACCTGTCCTTCTGTCTATTCTTCCTTCCTTACCAACCTTCTCCACTTGTCTACCAGCTGTCTTCCCTAAGGAACTTTGACCTTATCTGTTTATTTTTTGTTTCCCATTCGTCAGGCTTGCTATATTCGCATTTCCTTGGTGTCGGATTTGGGACATGCATAAACCCCTTTCCCTATAGTCCCACACACCCTCCAGCTTGGCTTCCACCGTCTCCCGAGTTGTTGTTCATACTTAAGGCATCGGTTTACTGTGCAACTGAGTATGTCGTAGAGTTGCTTTTCTGGCTGCTACAAATCTTATCAAGAAATTAATGTATATTTTTTTTCAGGGATGGGCTTTCTTACCACAATTCACTGTCTGCCTTGAAAGAGGCTTGGCTCTGCCTTCACTAGGTACCACCAGCCCATTGTGAAACGACAGTTATCTAATTGCTGGTATCTGCTTAGCTGAAAACACCGGTAAGGGCATTAACCGGTTCTTTTGATTGAAGATTGTGCTTCCAAGTAAGAAGTTTGGACAAGGGTTACGTTTTATAGTATCTACAGTGATTGTACCGAAATGTCTTGTTAAAATGTTACATTTGCGGATGGTCGTGGTGTGTGCTTCGAAGCTGAGAGTTTGCCCGTGGTGGCGTGTCATCTGGAGTTCAATTTTGCTCAAAACCCTACCCAAACGCAGAAAACTCAAAACAAACCGCTCTGACATGCATACATCTCATTCCGCCGTAATACAGTGAGCTCTTATGACACGCCCTGGGGGTACACATCTGGCACGTGGGAGCAAAGCTCGGCAAAAGTCACTGACAGAAGTTTCGACACACGGCACGCCTCTTGTAAGAGCGGACAGGAAGGCGGTCCGTTTGATTGGAAGACTTTCGAGAAAGCGACTCGGGGTGTATAAATATCACTCTTGTCCATAGCGCAGCCTAAAGTGGACCACGTCATCACCACAAAAATCAGCACCGGAAAGTGGAACTGGGGGCACCACACAGCTTCGTTTTGCTGACGACTGCGAAAACTCGCGCGAAAAGGAAAAGCCCCCCCTCTCATCCTCCCTCCCTCCCTCCCTCCCTCCTTTCCGTTCCTCCTCCCCACAAGCCCAACATTTTCCTCCTCCCCTCCAAATCTCAAGCATCCCTTGACTGTCCGCAATCGATCATTTTGGGCAGACGCGGTTCGTCCGTCTGACTGGCGCACGAAGGCAAATTCCGCAACAAAGTGAGCCCGCCACCCAATCCGTCCGAACCCAACCGCGGGCAGAACAGAAACGTCTGTGACTTGCATTCCGTTTCGTTGGGCATGTGCCCCTTCTTCCGTTGAGAAGAAAAGAGTTCTGCGCGCCGCCGTGCCCCATCCAGTACAGTGCCTAGCCCTACTTGTCAGATCAGGTGTCCTGCTGTGCATCTTGCTTTGCTCCGTCACTTCTAAACGTAATTTTGCGCTTTCAGTCACTTCCGCAAGCATCTCAAGCCACGTCGAGCAAGCACCTCTTCCCGTTCATCCGTTTCCTACCATTCTAACCCTGGAATTCACGTTATAGAAGAGTTAACTCACGTTTCGAACCTCCGTGATCGTTGTGCATCTACCGCGACCTTGACTTCACGTCTCTTTCCAGAGCAAGCGCAGACGCCATGTTTAAACTGATTACCAAGCAGTCACCGAAGAAGTACATCGAACAGGCGAGGACTCTACGCGTCGATTCAACGATCGCAGCCAGCATCAGCGATGCCATGCTGTATGTATCCTTGCCTTCTCCAGCCCTCACCAGCATTTCTCCATCCGTCTTGATCTATTGCTACCTTCACCTGCGAACATCATTGGTGTTATCAAGTTGCCGTCTCGGGACCTCACTATGTCTGATTCGCTTCGCTCGTGTAGATTTCTGCATGGCAACTCGACTTCATTCGGCAAAACTCGTTGCCTTCTCACTGTTTCGTCGTATTGCCAGCGCCTGCACTTTCCCTCTCATTTCGTTCTCCCTGCTGAAACAAGTCCTCGCCGCATAAATCCTCCTTGCTCCTCGCATGCTTATTCTTTCTTCCAACCTCCCTCGTTACAGTGAAGCGGGAGACTCCTTTTCGGTGGTGACGGCACGTGGCATCAGCTCCGTGTATGCCGGCGACCTTTCCGCTGAGGGGCTTCTGGGCTCACAGGTGGGTTGTGGGTGGGATCGCTGGTTTTTTAAGATGGGCGTGACTGGAGATACGTGGATGCAACAGACGGAGCGCGAATCATCGGGAAGGAAGCGCTAAGTGAATTCGTCGCACAGTGATTGCGCGAATGACTCGTACGTTGCGCGTTGACGCACCGTCGTAACAAGTCAAGGACTGTCGGTTCCACAGTAGGCGTAGTTTCCGCTTTATTTAGAAAGAGCTTGCGTTGTTGATAAATTGCACCAAGAAACGCACCAGCAAGCATAGTCTAGTCTCTCTTGTCACCTCGCGCCCGTGCAAAGCCTCCATAACCGATCGTTTCTTCCCCTCGTCTCTGCATCTTCCCTCCGTTGATACGTTCCGTTTCAGGGCGCTGCGTTTCTGACGCTGGAATACAAAAGCACGTCGCACACGGCGTATGTAAAGGTACGAAATCAGTGTACAGGAGTAACTAGTACGAGAGTTCTTAAAAAGAGAAGTTACCCAACTGCCATAAAATATATTATGTACCGGTTTCAAGAAGCGAGGCTTTTGGCAGGTCTACAACTGTAGGTGTAATCACGTTGCTGAAAGAAATTCGTCTCCGCGTATGAAATTACTTAACTCGCTGCGTCAGGAATTACTCCGCCGCGCTGGCTCAGTCTGTGCAAGCTCTTGTCTTCCGTCTGCTCCACCGACCTACTCCCGTCCATGTCGTGTATCCACCAGAATGGCGCCACGGGCGAGCTCATCATGATGCTGGTGCGCGAGTCGAGGGATAACTCGTGGCACGAAGAGGGAAAGTCGTACGCGCGCTTCGGCAACGCCACGGAGGCACGTCTGTGGTCCAACGGGCGGCCCGTGGGAGTTAACTACTCTGAGACTCTTATGGACGTGGCACCTCGGGTATGTCAGCTACAGAACCTATGCACCAGTCTCCAGGCTATGTGAAATTGACTTCATGCCTGCTTTGCACATTCAGACTTACCCACGCTTCTAAACCCTCCTGTTCCAAGAAAATCATGACCCCACATTTGCTTTCTTTTGCATGTCCTCTGTCTGTTGCAGTCGTTCAGTCAGGAGAAAGCACAGATGGGGGCGTCCATGATCGAGGTGATAAAGGAGAAAGTCGGTAACTCGATCCGCTTGTACAAGCAGAAGGCGGATGGGTCTCGGGGAATTGAGGTTGCTGCTTACACAAAGGTGAAGAACGGTCCTGCGGTGTTCCGTCTGGTCTCTAGGGACGTTTTGGATCCTGCTGTTGCGGTTGCTATGTCTTGGTTTACCACAATTGACAACAAATAAAAACTAGGCCCTGCTGTTGCGGTTGCTATGCAATGATTGCTAGTGGCCTTGCCCTCAGAAGTTTCATGTTGTCCGCTTGATGTGTGTGTACTTGCAGTTTGTGTTGCTGTTGCGTATAAATAAATGCAAACACAAACACTGTTAAACACACCAGCCAGAGCAAGCGTTCAGCAGCACAACATCAGATAACATACGCATATTATTGTAGACTAGCTGAGAATCAACGAAAGGTACTGTCTGACTGTCACTCAGTAACCAGACACAGAAGTTTGCCAGAGCAGTGTTAAGTCATTTGCTCCATCCCAGCACTCCTTGGGGTTATGGTCATGTCATTTGTTGGAATTCCAGATCGGTACTTCAGAATCAGTACTCCATGGGGCACCACAGCTGCACATCTTCAGTGCACTTGAGGCTTGCCATCTCTTCTTGCTCTTTAGCACTTCCACCTGAAATACCCTGAACTCCTCCCTTCACCACATCAGTCACTTCTGATATGGAACCAGGATGCACAGGGCCACTCAGTGTGTTGCCACTCCCTGCTGCAGCCTCTCCTTCCACGATCACTGGGATAGCTTGTGCCGTACACTCCGCAGTTGCTTCCACTGCAGGAAAGGTCACTTCTGCAGCCTTTGGTTCAGAGGTGACGTTGTCTGGATCGGCTTCAGGCAGTTTGGTAGGAGGCAGCGAATCATTATTGCTGATTTCTGCCGAGTTAGCAAACTGTTGTGGCTCCAAGTTTACAGCCTTGTCGGCGTGGTCCAGGTTTTTGGCAGTATTATCATCGTTTCCGTTAGGGAGTGTGAAGGCTCCTTCAAGCCCTGCCTGTGCGAGACCATGGTCAATGTTGTCAAAGAAACCGCCTGCTCCAATGTCATTGTCAGGTAGCCATTCCAGCACCTCCAGCTCCTGCAGCTCCAGTTCTTGCACGGTAGCAAGACCTGCATCAGTCCAGGTAGCACCATCCATGTCGTCAACTGGTGAAGCGATGGAATAGTCAAGGTCTGCTGTAAGGCGGTGAGGTGACTCAAGGTGATCATTGGTTAGCATCCCTCCATGGCTATAAGGAAGCAGATTGGTGAAATTCTCAGGAAGAGCCAATGTCGATAGATGCTGCTCCGAGATTAACTCAGT